GAAGTGGACGGGCTCTTCCTTCTTCCTAGTCTGTCTCAGTCTATAAGCTGGGCTGTTACCTGTGCACCAGGTGCATCTCGCTGAGTTTTAAACACCAGAGGCTCAGCCTCAAAACTCACGTCTACACATGTCACCACAGTAGGACAAACCGACAGACAAGTTTGTCTTGCTGTTGGAGACCTCTCATATCACCCCCACCTGGGTCTCTGTGGCTGACTGTACCTCTGTCTGGCTAAACAACAGAAAGAGCATATAATATGTTTCTCTGAAATATAATAATTCCAGTTAATCTAAGAAGAAACCAGCCATCAACTACTAGAATTTCAAGGCCAGTACTTAGAATTCAATATGGCTCTGCAATAATATAGATGCTATTATAAAGAGGTTTATATGTTTTTAAAAATAACATAAAAGATCCCCACAGCACTAAAAACAGTAGTTTTGTGAAACATTTTATAAATGAAACTAGAACACTCCCAATTATCAAATACACAATTCCATATTGACCTACTTAGCTCAGCTCAAAAAGGATGTCAGTGCTGGCATAAAAATAACTTTTAAAATTAAAGACTGATCTAATTAATGAGAGCATGCTATTATTAATACAGCTCTTAAGACTAATAATCAAGATTACTCATTTAATTCAAGGGCTTACTGAGATCTTTTAAGTATTTCTTTTACCAGTAATTCCAGCTGATATGCTTAAGATTAGGTTAGGAAGAAGATAAAGCTGGTTAACTATCATTTTTATATTTCTTTAATCTTTTTAAAATTTCTGAATAAAAGTCACATCAACAGAATTTTTGAAGGACCTTTAGACAAGGACTGTTCTAGGAAGTCAGGGATGTCCGTATCATTAGCTGTTATTGAGGGAGAGTGATATAATGCAGCATATAAACAGGGTACATAAACTGTACAAACTCAAAAAAGCCAAACTCACTGCTGTCAAGTTGATTCTGACTCATAAAGACCCCTCCCTGGGTTTCCAAGGTGGTACACCTTTATGGAAGTAGATTGCCCAGTCTTCCTTCTGAGGAATGGCTGATGGGTTTGAACCACCAGCCTTCTGGTTAGCAGTCAAATGCCTTAGGCGCTATGCCACCAGAGCTCCCCATAAACTGTACAGAGATCGATATTGTGAGCTTGTGAGATTCTTTGTAATAAGCATACCAAGTGCTAATAAAATAAATTTCTAACTTGTTGTGAAACTTGATAATTAATGGCAAATATATGATAGCAGTTAATTACCAGGATTACACAAGAATAATGAAGAGGAGATGAGTTAATATGAAAACTTTACCTCCAGAATCTCAATTCTTCTCTCTTTCTCTGACAACTGTTTTCTAAGTAGCATTATTTCAGCTGAGGCTGGATTTAATTTGGGATCTAAAGTTTTTATTACCTGTTTAAAGAAAAAAGAAAACAATATTTTATGTTCACTTTATCTTATCAGGTATACAATATAATAAAAGAATATATTTGATAAAGTATGTGTAAGTAAAATGGAAAATCATTAGGAAATTTAGGAGCTACCTATAGCTGTTTTATAATCTAATTTAAAAAAAAAATAACTTATTCTATAGATGAAAAAACAAATTAAGTATATAAAAAAAATACACTTATGTCAAAATCAACATCCCCTTCCAAAGGCTCAGTACTAAGGAATACCTTTTTATTAGCCTTTTTAAACTTTGAGCATTGTGGCTTTGAAATAATTCTTTCCACATTTGTTTGACATACATATTTAAAAAAATTTAAATGAATTTAAAAATGATAGGGATTTTCTGATTTTACAAAATAAAAGTAACACATAGAAATGAAATTCTTAACAATCTTTCTCAGTATCACTGTTGTTAAATATAATTCATTAGATAAGATCAATAAACAGTGAAATCAATATAACAGATGGTAGATGTCAGTGATTTGTCTGCAAACCCTAAGGTGCTCTAATCACATTATGTGAATTTCTAAAAGTTGGGTAAAAAAGATGTTTGATCAGAATATAGTTAAGAAATGCAACCTAACTACAAAATCAGCAGTCTGTTAGGAAACCAACTTGGAAACGTCAGGTATAAATTATAAGCAAAAGCTACAAACTACCCTAAAATAAGAACATCCATATGATATAATTATACATCTAATAAAAAAAGGTTGAAAATTTCATGAATTATGAAAATGTCATTCACATAAGTAAAGAAAAAGTCCAAAAGGCAGTATACTTAATGAATGGACACACTTATTCATTCAAAACAATTTACCAAGTGCCTATGTGTGGCAGACACCACCAAGATGGAACATCATGGGAATACAGCAGTTTACTAGATGCCAGTCCTCCCAGGGCTCACATTATAAGAAGAGAACATATTAACAGTTTCAATCATAATTCAATTACAATGTTTTTACCTCTAAGGTGATGACAATCAGGTCATTCTCTAAATTTTTGTATTCTCTAAATTTTACATATTCTCTAAATTTTCTATAATGCAGATACATTACTATTTTAATCACCCTTTTTTTGCTCAACTCTCAAATAACATTTAGAGGAAAAAAGTTACATTTAGCAAAACAAGCAACTATCTTTTAATTTCATTGATGACAAGTGAAGAGGACTTGAATCACTTACTGATGAAGATCAAAGACTACACCCTTCAGTATGGTGTACACCTCAACACAAAGAAAACAAAAATTCTCACAAGTGGACCAATAAGCAACATCATGACAAATAGAGAAAAGACTGAAGTTGTCAAGGATTTATTTTACTTGGATCCACAATCTATGCCCATGGACGCAGCAGTCAAGAAATCACATGAAGTATTACACTCGCCAAACATGCTGCAAGAGACCTCTTTAAAGTATCAGAGAGCAAAGGTGTTCCTTTGAAGACTAAGGTGCACCTCACTCAAGACATGGTATTTTTAATCACTTTATACACATATACAAACTGGACAATGAATAAGGAAGACTGAAGAAGAATTGATGCATTTGAATTATGGTGTTGGCAAATAATACTGAATATACCATGGACTGCCAGAAAGAACAAATCTGTCTCAGAACAAGTACAGCCAGAATGCTCCTTAAAAACAAGGATGGTTGAGACTTCATCTTTCATACTTGGTCATGTTATGAGGAGGGCCAGTCCCTGAAAAAAATATTATGCTTAGAAAGTAGAAGGTGAGTGAAAAAGAAGACGACCTTCAACAAAATGGACTGACAAAGTGGCTCCAACAATGGGCTCAAGTATAGCACTGATTGTGAGGATGGTGCAGGCCTGAAAAGTGTTTTGTTCTATTGTATATAAGGTCGACAGGAGTCAGAACCAACTCAACAACACAAACACTGATGACAAGAATATGGTACTCGGACTTGCTGTAAAATGGTGTAATAGGCAGACAAGCTACACATACCTTTTTCAACAAAGAAAAGAAAAAGTAATTGACATAGATACAAAATAAAATCCTGGAGCCCTGAGCTTTGAAAGGAAGGATACAGAAATGGATTAAACACCAACTAGAAGAAGAACCTGAATGAACACACTGAGTAAGCAGACAAACAGAGCTTTGGAATATCAGCTATCCTGACAGCATGGACAACCTGAGTATTTCCAAGTGGTGTTAGGACCTGAGAATTAACCTAGAAATCTGCCTTGGTTGTCGAGGGCTGCATGGATGACTGCACTGTTGGCTGATGACTAAAGAGGGAAACAAAGAAGGATACAAACTGAGCTGTAGACTTTCAGCTGTCCAGAGGGCACAGCCATTTTGAATAATTAAAGTGATAGCATTCTCGTTCAGATTCCAGAGACCTAAGAATAGGCTGCACTTGCTAAGGACAGCACGGACATATGGGAGGCTGACAACAGAAAAGGAGACATGTGATGAGTTCATAAGTGCTGCCAACTAGTGAACAGAGAAGCACAGTACTCACAGTACTCTGCTTACTCATATAACATCCAAAGAAAACAAAATCTTGGGTGAATCACTCCAACATACAATCACTGATCAAATATAAACACAAAAATGTCACAATGTCTTGGAGACAACAGCAGCCCATCACAGTCCACACAAAAAAGCAAGATAAAGTGGTAGAAACAAGGGAGCAGGATTTAGACCCAGAACACATCCCTGAGGAAGAAGCAGCACTGGAACTCCCTAATAAGAAATTCAGAAGAATTATATTTAGGTACCTTCAATGGATTGACAGATCAGAAAAAAGTACACTGACAAAACTGAGAAGAACACAGAGAAAACCCTAGAACAATTTCAGAAGATAATATAAGAACAAATGAAAAAATAGATGAAAAATTAGAAATGATAAAAAAATCTACAGATAGAAATCCAGAAGACTAATAGTAATTTTCAGATAACACACTGAATGGGCACAGGAGTACAACTGAATCAATGGAAGACAGAATTAGATTGAAGACAAATACCTGAATACTTCTTTGGAAAGGGATCAATCAGAAAAAAGATCAAAACAAAATGAAGAAAGCTTAAGGTTCATATGGGATACCATCAAAAGGAATAAACTATGTGTAATCAGAATTCCAGAACAGGAAGAGACAAATAAAAGCACAGAGAAAACTGTCAAAGATTTGTTGGAAGAGAACTTCCCTGATATGATGAAAGATGAGAATATATTCATTCAAGAAGTCCAATGAACCCCAAACAGGATAGACCCTGTTCTAGTTACCTAGTGCCACTCTGACAGGAATATACCACAAATGGGATAGCCTTAACAAACAGGAGTTTATTCTCTTAGAGTTTGGATAAGTCCAAGTTCAAAGTGCCAGGCTTTAGGGGCTGGGTGAAAGCCCCTCAACCTTGGGCTCCAGCTCTGCTTCCTGCTCCTGCCCCATTGGAGCTAGAGTCATTTCTTCACTCAGACAGCTACTGGCTGCTAAGGCTGACAAGTCCAAGGTTGACAAGTAAAAAGGCACAGTCCCAACATTACCAAATCAAACATGGCAGGCCATTAATTTAAGTCCATTGTAAGTCCCAAGGTCAGCAGAGCATGGCAGGCTACTGAACAATGACATGGCTACATGCAGGGTCCAAACGTGTCATAAACCATGCCCAAAGCTGCTGCTTACATACGGGAAGCAGACCACATACCCAAAGCAGCTACTCAGGTGCTCTAGTAGATACCACCATGGAGTTAATTACCAATCTCACCATGGGGAATGACTACATCCAGCTGCCCAGCCACTCAACCAGGCCCAGCAAGTTGACACACAGACTTAACCAACACAGACCCCAATAGAAAATGACCAACACATAGCATCATCAAACTCACCAAAAACAAAGACACTTACCCAACAACAGCATAATATACATTCTTTTCCAGTGCACACAGAACATTCTCCAGGACAGACTGTATGTTAGGCCACAAAGGAAGCCTTAATAAATTTAAAAACATTGAAATATTGCAAAGCATCTTCTCAGATCACAATGCTACATAATTGGAAATTAACAATAGGAAGATCAATGGAAAAAGAGCAAACACATGGAAACTGAATAACACCCTCCTTGAAACTGACTGGATAACAGAAGAAATAAAAATGAAATTAGAAAATTGATCACATGCCACCTCCTGAAATGGATGAACACTGACTAATCCTTTTTTGATTCTGTGAAGGAAGATGGGGCAATCTACTTCCGTAGTGATACTGCCTTGGAAACCCAAGAAGGGGTTGCTATGTGTTGGGTCTGACTCGATGGCACATAACAACAACAACAACACTCCTTACATCTTCTTTTGATGTTTCCTACATCATTCATTACCCACAGAATCTTTCAATATTGCAATTTGAGACTTAAATTTTTCCTCAGTTCTTTCAGTTTGAGAAATGCCAAGCGTGTTCTTCCATTTTCGTTTTCTAACTCCATGTCTTCGCGTATTTCATTATAATTGACTTTGTCTTCTCAAGCTGCTCTCTGAAATCTTCTGTTCAGCTCTTTTATCTTGTAATTTCTTCCATTTCCTTCAGCTATTTGCCATTCAAGGCCAAGTTTCAGAGTCTCTTCTGATATCCATTTTGGTCTTTTCTTCCTCTCCTGTCTTTTTAATGACCTTTTACTTTCTTCATGGATGATGTTCTTGATGTCATCCCACAATTCCTCTGGTTTTTAGTCACTGGTATTCAATGGATCAAATCTATTCTTTGGATGGTCTCTAAATTCAGGAGGGATATTATTAAGGTCATATTTTGGCTCTTGTGGACTTGTTTTAATTGTCTTCAGCTTCAATTTGAACTTGCATAACAGCAGTTGATGATCCATTCCACAATCAGCTCTTGGCCTTGTTATAGCTGAAGCTATGGAGCTCTTCCATTACCTCTTGCCACAGATGTAGTCAATCTGATTCCTGTGTGCTCCATATGGCAAAATCCATGTGTACAGTTGCTATCTGTGTTGTTGAAAAAATGTATTTACAATGAGTAAGTTGTTGGTCTCGCAAAATTCTATCATTCAATCTCCAGCGTTATTTCTATTACCAAGGCCAAATTTTCCAACTACTGGAGATTCTTCTTTGTTTCCAACTTTTGCATTCCAATCACCAGTGATAATGAGCACAATTTAATTGCACGTTCAGTCAATTTCAGACTGCAGGAAGTTAGTAAAAATCATCAATTACCTCATCTTTGGCTTTGGGGGTTGGTGAGTAAATTTGAATAGTAGTAGTATTAACCGTTCTTCCTCATAGGCGTATGGATATTATACTATCATTGACAGCATTGTACTTCAGAGCAGATCTTGAGACATTCTTTGTGATAATGAATGCCGTGCCATTCCTCTTCAATTTGTCATTCCCAGCATAGTAGATCATATGTATGTCTGATTCCAAATGGCCAAAACCAGTCCATTTCAGCTCACTAATGCCTAGGATATCAATCTTTATGCATTCCATTTCATTTTTGACAACTTCCAATTTTCTTAGATTCATATTTTGTACATTCCATGTTCTGACTATTAATAGATGATTGCAGCTGTTTCTTCTCATCTTGAGACATGCCACATCAGCAAATGGAGGTCCCAAAAGCTTTACCCTATCCACATCATTAAGGTCAGCTCTCCTCTGAGGAGGCAGCTCTTCCTCAGTCATATTTTGAGTGCCTTCTGACCTGAGGGGCTCATCTTCTGGCACTATAGTGGACAATGTTTCAGGGCTATTCATAAACTTTTCCAGTAATATATCAGACAGTGTTTTACTACTATTCATAAGGTTTTCACTGGCCAATTCTTTGAGAAGTGGACAGCCTCTTCCTTCTTCCGAGTCTGCCTTAGTCTGGAAGCTCTGCTGAAACTCGTCCACCATGGGTAACCCCGCTGGTATTTGAAAAACCAGTGAGCATAGCCTCCAGCCTCCTGCCTCACAGCAACATGCAAGCCACCACAGTATGACAAACTCACAGATAAGTTTGTGTCCCTTAGTTGTTCTACACCACTCCACTCCCTTTCTCTCTCAGCCACTCCAAACTGCTGCTCTCCCTTAGCCACTCCAAATCTGCTGCCTCACTTCCTGGCCTCCCCCATCCACTCCAACACCTGCTTGCTGCACCTGGCTCACTTTTCTGGCTTGTCCCAGGAGCTCCAACATCTGCCTGCCAAGCCTGCCTCACTTACCTGCCCTGCCCCAGGTGCTCCAACACCCAATTGCCGTGGCTGGTCTACTTACCCGGCCTGCCCTAGGCACTCCAACACCTGCCTGCCATGCCCAGCTCACTTACCTGGTCTTCCCCATGCACTCCAACACCCTTCTACGGTCAGGTGATTTTTGACAAAGGGCTGAAATCCATTAAATGGGGAAGAGATGATCTGTTTAACAAATGGTGCTGGCAAAACTGGATATCCATTTGCAGAAAAGTAAAACAAGATTTGTACCTCACACCACACACAAAAACTAACTCCAGATGAATCAAACACTTAAGTGTGAAACCTATAACTATAAAGATAAAAAGAGAACTTATAGATTGTGAAAAATATTTGGCAAAGACATATCTGACAAGGGACTTATCTTAAAATATATAGAAAACTCCAACACCTCAACAACAAAAAGACAGACAATCCAATCCATTCAGAAGACATGAATAGACATTTCACCAAAGAGATACTCAGGTGGCCAACACACACATGAAAAAATGTTCATAATCATTAACCACTAAAACCAAAAAAAAACCAAACACACTGCTATCGAGTCAGATCCAACTCATAGCGACCCATCCTTGGGTTTCTGAGGCAGTATCACTATAGAAGTAAGATTGCCCAACCTTCTCTCTGAGGAGTGGCTGGTGGATTTGAACCACCAGCCTTCTGGTTAGCAGTCAGATGCCTTAGGCACTACGCCACCAGAGCTCCTGGAGAGATGCAAATCAAACAACAATGAGATACAATCTCACCCCAGCACTAATGGCAAAGTTCAACAAGACAGAAAATAACAAATGCTGGTGAGGATGGAGAGAGACCGGAACTCTCATACACCGCTGATGAGACTATAAAATGATACAACCACTGTAGAAAGCAGTATGGTGATTCCTTAAAAATTTGGAATTAGAAATACCATTTAATCCAGCAATCCCATTACTAGGTATATATCCTAAAGAAGTGAGAGCAGGACAAGAACAGATACGTGCACACCAATGTTCATAGCAGCACTTTTTCCACCAAAAGATGGAAACAACCTATGTGCCCATCAACAGAAGAATGTATAACCAAACTATGGTACATACACTGAATGGAATACTATGCAACACAAAAGAATAATGTGGAAACTGCAAAACACTGTTTAACATGGATGGACTTACTTGTAAGACATTATGCTGAGTGAAGTAAGTCAATCCAAAAGGACAAATATTATGTATTATTGTAAGAAGTCATGGAAAAGTTTATATATGAAAGGAAACTTTGTTGGTTATCAGAGAGGGGTGAAGGGGAAGGAAGGGAAGGGGAGGGGAGAGGAAGGAACACTGAAAAAATTAAAAATATTAAAAAAGAAAAATATGGTACTCATTCACTGCTTTGTGTGGTTAGCTATAATCTTTTAAAACATCCTTTAGAAATAAATGTCTTATTAAAATGTTCTTATGCTTTGACTCAATAGTTTCATTTCTAGGTTACATGGTTCAAATAATAAACCAAAATAAGAGCAAACCTTTCTTTCTGTATACATATATTGCCTATAGCCTTATTTCTAGTATCAAGGTGGGAAAAAAAAGAAGAAGAAATAAATACAAACTATTTCTAACAGCAGGATGATCATTAAATAAATTATCGTATATCTCACACAACTGAAAGCCATCCATTTATTTTTGCAAACTCTGCTCCATAGGGTAGTGTCTTTCTTGTTCATTGATGTTTTCCCAGTGATTAACATAGTAGGACTCAAATATTAATTAAATTATATGTATATAATATGAGGAAATGCTTAATATTTTAAGTTAAAAAATAGGAATTTTGTCAACAATCATGAGAAAAATATGCACTGAAAAAATGCATTGTTACGACAATACCATGTACCAAAATGTTAACAACAGCTGTCTCTGAGAATTTTCCTGTATTTTACATTTTCTACTATGAGCATTTCTGCTTTATTAACTGGGAGAAACTAAACTGTGGTAGAGACTGCTTGGATGTTTGCCATGCCTATTTCTCTTTTCTTCTAGAAACACAGCTAGCTAGCGTAGCTGCCTCCTTGCAGCTGGGTGTGGCCCTGTGCCTGAGTTCTATTCACTGAAATGAGAGTGACTGAAAATGTTTTGAGGCCTGATCCACTGCATACCTCCCATACAATCTATGCTGTCTTCACTCATCTACTATTTGGACAATGTCAAGAACAGGAATCCTATGTTGAAGAAGGCAGAGCCTCTGTCAATTTGGGACTCCCACATGCAGCAGGAATTCCTTCCCACCAACGACCGGACTTCATATGATTGATAAGTAAGGTTCTATAATGTTAAACTTTGAGAGCTTGGGCTTTATCTGTGGCTGCAAGTACTGGTTATGCCTTAATAAAGGGCTTCAGCTCTGCCTCTTATTCCAGGCCCACTGGAGGTGGAGGCTTTTTCTGAAACTCAGGCAGCTGCTGGCTGCTGAGTCTGACAAACCCAAGATTGACAGGTAAAATGGCATAATCCCAATATTGGCAGACGACATGGAAGACCACTAGTTCAAGTCCAGGAACAATGCCAAGATCCGCAGACATATGGCAGGTCAAGACTCAGCCAAATGCAGGGTCCAGATGTGGCAAAAGCCAGAGACCCTCCTCAAACCTTCTCCTTATATACCGTATGTAGGCCATACCCTGAAGGCAATTACTTAGTTGCTCACAGCAGATTCCATCACGGAGGTAATTACAATCTTATCATAGGGAATAACAACATCCAGCTGCCCAGTAACTCAAAACCATGGCCCAGCCAAGTTGACACACAACTACCACACCAAAATAGTACTCTAATATTCTCTAAGATAAAATACTAATATTTAATTAACAATATATATATAGTAATTCATGGAAAATAAAGATTTTATGAGAATAATATACTTCCAGATATCTAAAAGAAAAGTATGAAATAGAGGGAAAAAAAAAGATTCATTCTTGTGACCATTAGAATAAATAATGTTTAACTGTCTAATTCTAGACTAAATGTAAACCAGCTTAAAATGCTAAATATTCATAAAACACAAAAAATTCATTTTAAGAGTTAAAGTTTCCACACATTACAGTACTGATTTTTGTCTAATGAAGTCATTATAGTCACTGTGTAAACTGTCCCTATGGACCATGTTTGTTTTATCTGAAGCTGATGAGTGAGACTGAGAAAGTATAAGGGCTGATGTGGAGACATACCAGGAATCTGATAGGGAAGGAGAAGCCATCAGAAACAAAGCGACCTGATATAGATGCAGGAATAGCAGTAGAGCCAGGCACAAAAGATTTAATTAGAATACGGGTCACAAAGAGTCGAGTTCTGAAAGCTAAACTACTCACATTTCTTGCTTTCTCCAAGTACATTTTATATCTTTCCTCCATTGCTTTCATATCTTCATCTTTCTTCTGAAGAGCAGCTTCAAGTTCACTGATCTTTTGTACTGTTAATAAAAATGAAATAAGACATAACTAAATACTTTCTATTTAAAATACTTCATCCTCACACAAAAAAAGTGTATATTTCTAAAGACTGGCAAGGGAACTTAAGGAGGACTAATGGACCATAAGAAACTTAGCCTACATAACCCTGAGACAGAGAAGAACTAAATGCTGTCTGGGTACCAATGCTAACCCTTGGAAATGAATCAAAATTGGAGATCCTGGAATAGAATGAGAGAAAAATGTGAAACAAAATTAAAAAATATAAAAAGTACCAGGATTACTGGTCAGAGAGACTGGTCGAACTCCCAAGGCTATGGTCCCTCGGTCACCTTTGGGCCTAGAATTGGATTCACTTCAGGGGCTCAACTCTCAGCCAAATAATAAATAGGCCTATGAGCTTAATCAATTACACCAGGGAGATGCATTCCTTAGAACAATCAACCACAGGAGATCAGAAGGGCAGCATTTGCACAGGGAGAAACCTAGGGAGGGAGGAAGGCACAGGTAAAAGCAGCACAGGGAAAAGGTAACCACAGGGAGGAAGTGGGAAGACAGCTGTTACATTGTGGGAACTGTAATCAGTGTAATACAAAATGAACACAAACTGTTGAATGGAAAACCAATTTGCTCTACATAATTTCACCCAAATCACAATAAAACTAAAAAAAAAAAAAGAAATTTTCCATTTCTTCTCTGTAGTGAACTTTCACCTAAAACTTAACTACAACCAATACATACTTAATCATTTCTTATTAATTTGTTTCTCATAAAACTGTCTATGAACTGCTTTATTTAGCTATTTTTCTCCTTTTTATCAAGTATTTCAATGAGCAAGTATATCTTACAATATAAGAACAATCACAGTAAGGGCACATAAAGCATTCCTTCTCTATAGTGTTCTGAAGCTTACTGTCAGATACCTAATTTTAAATCATTATTTTACTTATATTTCCATATTATTCATTCTATTGTTTTATGTTTGATACTACTCTATATCAATTAACTGATTATGTCAAATTTACATTTTTTGTTTCAAGATTAGATAATTAATGACTTCACAAAAAAATTATCATAGTTCTTATTTTCAATGTGTATACCTAGGCATCGTTCAAAGACATATATATAGTTCTTGCATCCTTCAACTAAATAGAACAAGTCCTTAAGTATCATCTGATCCAGATTTTTACAAATACCTACCATTCTGGTTTACATCTGGCTGGAGATCTTCAATGAGCTCTTGTTTCTTCTGTAATTCTTCATGGACCTCTGTTAGCTTTTCCCTAAGTAGCAGAAAGAGCATGGGGCTTTGGCGTCAAAGAGATCTAAAAATGAAAACTAGTCTCTGTCACATAACATTTGTGGACTGTGGGCAAGGCACTTTCTCACCGTTAACTTCCTCACCTGTGAAATGGGAATAATACCTAACTCTAGGAGTTGTTGTAAGGATGTAAACTGCCTAGAACTTGGCGGATGCAAAAAATATAAACTATTTCCTCCTGCCACTCTCACTTCCAAAAAAATAAAAGGAGATATTTTATAGGATTACCACCCTTGTACATAATCTAGCTGTTATACTTGTTTGCTTGTTAAATTCTTCAAACGGCAAAAGAAAATTATAGGAGAGTTTGGGATTACTGGAGGCAGTCTAAATCTTTTAGCATGTTTTTCTTCTTATGTGTTGATGACAGTGGTTAACAATCAATTTAGCATCAGGTTATCTGCTTGTATAACCAAAATCTTAAAAGGGTATTAACTCTGGAATTGTTTATAACACTTCCTCTTTCATATTTGAAATGAAATACCAGCTTTACTTACATATGAGCTTCCAACTTCTGCTTTAGTTTGCTGGACTATAAAATAAAAAAAAAGTTGCTGTAAAAGTTTGTCTTGACAAAATTTTCCAGACATCAAAAACTTTTAATCTCCTTTTGAAGGTGTACTGTTTAATAATATAATGTAAATGTATTTAAAATTTCTACTTCTAATAACATTTATGAAAACAACATTTTAGTTATGTTTCATTTCAAAGCAAAAAGAAAATGGAGAATAGGAAATGAAATAGGGAAGAGAAATGAAATAACAGGAAAAAAGTGCTTTATATTTCTAAGTTTAAAAAATAAAATTTGTACTTGAACAAAAAACAGCAAATGCAAGCTAAATGTGATATACTAAAGAGTATCAAACATTTGGATAACTAAAAATTCATTTATTTAAAATACAAATTTTAAAGTTTTAGGCCTATAATGAAGAACAAACCTAATGAACTGAAACAATTATTTAAATATATCAAATGTAGACATTTTAATGTTAACACCAATGTTGTCTCTTTATAACAGCAAGCACTTTAATGTTAATGAAGCAAGTGGATCTTGTTAAAAAATAAATAAGTAAAATTTCCTCTTAAAAATATTTAAGTTACAAATAGTAGCTTTGCATCAACTGAGTAGCTGAACAGTTTAAAATGTGATAATCAGAAATACAATTAGGACACCAATAAATTGAAAACATAAAAAAGATGAAGAAATTTCAACTTTTCATAATACTTTAATCCAAAATTTAATCCCCCAAACAGATCCTATTTTAAAAGTATTCCCTAATATGGCTTAAAAAAATATTTGTATTAGAGAGGTTACAATACCGTATATATGCACATATGAGATGTCGCCATGCATGAGACGATTTCTATTTTCCAAGCCCCCAGGGAAAAAAGAGAAAATTATATAAAGGATATAAGAGATTGAAAGGAAATGCTACCTTTTCAATTTTCCTTTTCATCTCTTCACTTATTCTGCATAGTTTCCTTCCCCATCAACACAGGTATAATCCCTAGCTTTTTCTCTAAACTCAATCAATCAGTATCTAACATACATCTAACAAAAAAAGGGAAAACTCACTGCAATCAAGTTGATTCCAACTCACATTAACCCCCATTGGGTTTGTACAGTGGTATATCTTTAAAAATCCCATCTTCCTTCCACAGAGTGGCTGGTAGGTTTGAACTACCAATCTTCTGGTTAGCAGTCAAATGCCTTAGGCACAGCGCCACAAGAACTCCCACACATCTAGTCCTATCATTTTTGTTGTTCTTTTGAATGAAATACATACTTCCCTCAATCATTGCTTCTTTTCCTCTACACATATGGAGATCAAACTATAAAGAAAGTGTTAGGCATATTCAGAATTAGGCTAAGTTTGATGTCTTTTAAATTCCCTTATCTCTGCCCTCATGGTTTGTTGTTGTTGTTATGTGCTGTTAAGTCGGACCCAACTCACAGCGATCCCTCTTTGGATTTCTGAGGCAGTATCATTATGGAAGTAGACTGCCCAACATTCTTTCCGAGGAGTGGCTGGTGGGTTTGAACTGCCAACTTTCTGGTTATCAGTCAAGTGCCTTAGGCACTACGCTACCAGAGCTTCTAAAACCAAAGAAAATGCAAGACCATAAATCATTATGGATGGAGGGAGAAAACAAGAGGGGTAAAGTCTCTAACACTGCACAAAGGTTTCTGTCTTTCATAGGCTGATATAAACCCATTTCTTGAATGTTTTTTTGGAAGAAATCATTTTGTCATTCTCTAATTTCCTATTAGAAATTTTCCTCAATTTTGACTGTTGATAACACTTATTTGGGTTTTTTCTCAGGCCAGCCCTGTTGGAATCTAAGGCCTCAATTGTAGCATGTTCTCAACCAGGAAATACTATGAGCTTAGATGTAACTGCTTAAGTAGGGCAGACAGAAATAACTGTATAGTATACGTGATCAATTTATAAGATTCAAATTGGCAAAATCACTGCATCTGTTATGCAGATATATACGGTATTTAACGATGCACTCTAAATAAGGGAAGTGTATTCAAATACCAGATTAATTTGGGCATCAAGATCTCCTATTGTAGAGAGTCTATACACAAAAAAATTACAATTTCTAAGTTACTTACACTTTCACCTTCGGACTTGGAGCCTTGCTCCTGTAAAGACTTCTGGAGGTCCTCAATCTGCTGCTGTAATTCTCGGATACGCTCCTGGCTCAACCTATTGTAAGATGAGACATATATATTTATTTAAAATATTAAAAATCAAAGTAGTTAAAGATCTGTAATTTAAAGGTAGATTCATGTAATTTAATTCATAATATAGACATTTGATAGTAATAACAAATGCTGAACTAATTATCTGTATTTAGGTATAAAATGTACCACAATGAGCTATTTCCAAGGAAATACTTAAGAAAAGAAAAAGAACATATTTTTATCATGAAAACACATATGCCCAAATTTTAAAATTTAGGATTTTATGTATCATTGGCAAAACATACAATTTCTGCACTGTACTCACTGGTAAAAAATTCAGAAATCTAGCTAAATTTTTCTACAGTTTTGTATTTAGTAAATAGAAGCTAACTTTCTATTTTTAGTTTCAAATCTAAAGATGTATTGGGAGAAGAGGGAGGTCATCATTTCACCACAGTTTCTCTATTACCTGTTCTTTTAAGAGACTAGCACTAGCAAATAGTGCAGATTTTAATTTAGCTAAATTGAATTCTTTAAAATACTGCTTAAAAGTTGCCTCCATTGGAAGATACCAGAAAGAATTAGGATCTTTCTGTCTCTATCTAATACATTATCTGCCCATAATACTACTACTGTAATTGTCACATAATGTAATAATTATCTATTCACATGTCTATCTTCCTATGATTAACTGCCTAAAAACTGAAACTTAGTATATCTAGTACTAGTAATTGGTATTGGACTGTATTATTTAATGGTCTCATCAGAAAGTTAAAATATTATTCTTTTTTTAACTACAGTGATTTAACAGCACACACACAAGTTTGAGGGAGACAAGATTTAAGTGTCTCACACTGCTGGTGGTCTCTAAGATCCAATAAAAGTTGAACAAATCAATCCAAATATACTTGATAGCAAGAGTGCTATTTATAAGAAGTAGATTAACATAATTGTTAAGAGGAGACTAATGAGCCAGACTGACTAAGGGTTCAAATTTAGGCTCCGTGACTAACTAGCTCTGTAACCTCGGGTAACTTACTTAACCTCTCTGTACTTCCCTTTCCTTATGCACAAAAGAGAGATAATAATAGCTACTACTTCATAAAAGTTATCCTGAAGATTTACTAAGTGAATACCACCCCCTAAAAAAAAAGTTCCTAGAAAAGCACCTGGCACACCTCTCTATGTGGAGCAAAGAAGAATGAAGAAAATCAAAGACTCAAGGAAACAATTAATCCAAAAGATTAACAGACCCCGCAAATCCCAGGCTACACTATCCTGAGACCAAAACAAAGTCTGGTTGCGAAACCTGGCTACCACTACTGACTGTTCTGATGGGGGTTGCAATAGAAGGTCCTGGACAGAAAGGGGGAAAAAAAAAAAACATGTTGAACAAAATCATAAAGACCACCAGACTTACTGGTCTGAAAGGAGCTCTGGCAGCATAGTGGTTAAGGTATTTAGCTGCTAACTAAAAGGCCAGTGGTTCAAAGCTATCAGCTCCTCCACAGGAGAAAGATGAGATAGTCTGCTTCCATGAAGATTTGTAGCCTTGGAAATCCTATGAGGCAGTTCTACTCTGTCCTACAGGGTCATTAGGAGCTGAAACTGACTCAATACTGGTGGAACCTTTGAAATTTTGGCTCTCAGGCACTTTTTAAGCCTGCAACTGAACTCTACCTATTAGATCAATTTTCAGCCAAAGAACAACAGACAGTCCTGTCAGGTGAGCAATAACACCAGGGAGGAATGCACTCCTTAGAACAATTAACCATACAGATATAATGGCTGCATTTGCCCAGGGAGAAAGTTCAGAAGCAGGAAGGGACAGGAAAGAAGGACGAACGGAAATGGGAAACACAGGAAGGGGAAGAGTGCTGTTACATTGTGGGGATTGCAATCAACGTCACACACACACACACAAAGTGTAGGAACTGTTGAATGGAAAACCAATTTGCTCTGTAAACTTTCACCCAATCCACAATACAAAGTTAAAAAACAAAAAGTGCTTTGCATACAGGAAGCCTACATAAATGTTACCTAGTTTTATAATTTTTGAGTGCCTCATTGTCAACAGGTAAGTACCACCTATTTTAAGTTCATTTTCTATAATCTTCCTAACAACTTGCAAATTAGTACCACTTTCTATTTAAAGTTGGGAATACCAAATAAAGAGAGTTTACTTGCTCAGAACAAAACTGTTAATAAAATAAAATAGAGGTGGGATTCAAATTTAACTCTAAAATCTACGTCCCATTGATTTTGGTCTATTGTATCAGACCACAGTAGAGAGTCAGACTGTCATTTATTCATATTTAAATTTTCTGTCAATTGTGAAGATATTTAAATGAAGAGCTTGGTTGTCCAAGACTGCTAAAATTAATGGATCATCCACGAGTCCATTAGTTCTATAATAAAATAGTTACAATGAATAACTTGACTTCTTTTATAGGGTGAAGTTATAGCAGTGACAGACTACAAACAAATAAAAAATCCAGACTTCCAGAAACCCTAATTAATTTAACTACAATACTATGTTCCACTTCTGGGAATTAGGATTTGTAGTTTGGCTCTGGTAGCATAGTGGCTAAGACACTTGCCTGCTAACCAGACAGCTGGCGGTTCAAACCCACCAGCCACTCCTCGGAAGGAAGGTTGGGCAATCCTACTTCCGTAGTGATACTGCCTCGGAAACCCAAGGAGGGGTCGCTATGAGTCGGGGCCGACTCGACGGCACACAACAACAACAACAACAACAATCAAATCACCATTATGACCAATTATAAAGAATCAGATCACCTTTGATCAGTTTCCAGTTCATTCATTTTACGGTGCTTCTGTTCCAGCTGCTCCTGAAGTTCTTCAATACGTTCATTCTCAGTCCCTTCCTGTTGTAAGCGAAGCATCTTATTTTCATGTTGCAGTCGAATAAATACCTCCCTGATGTTGAAAAGCAAAATTTTTATTTTAATTTTTTTAAAATAATGATTTTTACATTCTTAAAAATTTTTAAGAAGAAATTCTAGTCCACTCAAACTGCCATTTTAAAATACTACCAAAGTTTCTGAAAATTTTTGTTTTTGAAAAATTCACATTGCAAGACAATGCCTCATAAAGCAAGCACATTTTTTAAAGTATACAAAAAAAAATAAATAAATAAACCCCTTGAGTTTCCGAGGTGTTATCTCTGCAGAAGTAGAATGCCCGGCCTTCCTTCCAAGGAGTAGCTAGTAGGTTTGAACCACCAGCCTTCTGGTTAGTAGTCAAATGCCTTAGGCACTATGGCATCAGAGTTCTAGGATTACATTTCAGCAAATTCTTATTATGGAAATTCCTAAGAGATAATGTGAATTACTTTACTTCTATAAGTTAGAAACTCTTCACCAAAGGTAATACATAGGTTATTACAAAACATAACATAAAAAACAATAAATTGAACAAGACCATGTTGTTGTCATTAGGTACCACTGAGTCAGCTTCGACTCATAGCAACCCTATGTACAACAGAATGCCTGGTCCTGAACCATCCTCATAATCCTGGCTTGAATCCATTGTTGCAGCCACAGTGTCAATCCCTCTCATTGAGGATCTTTCTCCTTCTCACTGACCTATTTTACCAAGTATGATACCTTTCTCCAGGGACTGGTCAGTTCTGACAACACAACCAAAGTAGGTGAGGCAAGGTCCGGCCATTCTTACTTATAAGGAGCATTCAGGCTGCACTTCTTCCAGGACAGATTTGCTCATCTTCTGACAGACCATGTTATTTTCAGTATTTTTCACAAACATCACAATTCAAAGGCATCAACTCTTCTTCAGTCTTCCTTGTTCAGTGTCCAGGTTTCACATGCATATGAGGTGAAAAGAAAATACTATGGGTTGTATTAGGAGCATCTTAGGAAGTTTGGACAATCTACTTCCATAGTGATTCCGCCTTGGAAACCCAAGGAGGGGTCGCTGTGAGTCGGATCTGACTCGACGGCAGTGAGTTTGGTTTAGTCTTCAAAGTGACATCTTTGGTTTTTATCACTTTAAAGAGGTCCTTTGCAGCTGATTTGCCCAGTGCAATAAGATGTCTGGTTTCTTGACTGCTGCTTCCGTGAGTGTTGATTGTGGATCTAAATAAAATGAAATCCCTAACGACGTTAATCTTTTCTCCATTTATCATAATGTTGCTTAATGGTCCAGTTGTGAGGATTCTTCTTTTTTTTAATGTTGAAGTGTAATCCATATTGAAAACTCTAGTCTGATCTTCATCAGTAACTGCTTCAAGGCATCTTCACTTTCAGCATACAAGGTTGTGTCATCTGTATATCGCAGGTTGTTAATAAGTCTTCCTCCAATCCTGATTCCGTGTTCTTCATATAGTCCAGTTTCTCAGATTTGCTCAGCATAGAGATTGATTACGTATAGTGAAAGGATACAACCCTAACACACTTCCTTCTTGATTTTAAACCATGCAGTATCTCCTTGTTCTGTTGAAATGACAGCCTCTTGGTCTCTGTACAGGTTCCTCATGAGAACAATGAAGTGTTCTGGAATTCCCATTCTATGCAATATTATCCATAATTTATGATCCACACAATCGAATGTCTTTGCAGTTAACAAAACACAGGGAAACACCTTTCTGACATTCTTTGCTTTCAGCCAAGATCCATCTGACATCAGCAATGATATCCCTCATTCCATGCCCTCTTCTGAACCCTCTTCTGAAATTCCGGCAGTTCCCCGTCAATATACTGGTGCAAACATTTTTGAATTATCTGTAGCAAAATTTTACTTGCGCTTGGTATTAATGATATCGGTTGATAATTTCCACATTCTGTTCCACATTCACCTTTCTGTGGAATGGGCACACATACCGCTCTCTTGCAGTCAGTTTGCCAGGTGGCTGTCTTCAAAATTTCCTTGCATAATAAACAAGTGAGCACCTCCAGTGCTGCATCCATTTGCTGAAAGATTGCAATAGGTATTCTGTCAATTTCTGCAGCCTTGTTTTTCACCAATTCTTTCCGTGTAGCTTGGACTTCTTCCTTCAATAACATTCGTTCTTGATTATATGCTACATCCTAAAATGGTTGAACATTAACCAATTCCTTTTGGTATACTGATGCTGTGTATTCCTTCCACCTTCTTTTGATGCTTCTTCTATCATTCAGTATTTTGCCTACAGAATTCTTCAATACTGCAAATCAAGATTTGAGCTCTTTCTTCCATTTTTTAGCTTGAGAAATGCTGAGCAGGTGCTTCCCTTTTGGTTTTCCAAATCCAGGTCTTTGTATATTTCATTATATTACTTTACTTTGTCTTCTCAAGCTGCCCTTTTTAATCTTCTGTTCAGCTCTTTTAGTTTATCATTTCATCCATTCACTTTACTTACTCTCCATTTAAGAGCAAGTTTCAGAGGCTCTTCTGATCCCCGTTTTGGTCTTTTCTTCCTTTCCTATCTTTTTAATGACCTTTTGCTTTCTTCATGGATGATGTTTTTGATGTCATCCCACAACTCATCTGGTCTTTGGTCATTGGTATTCAATGCATCAAATCTGTTCTTCAGATGGTCTCCAAATTCAGGTGAGATATAAATCAAGGTGGCATTTTGGGTCTCATAGACTTGTTTGAAGTTTCTTCAGTGTCAACTGGAACTTGCACATGAGCAATTGATGGCCTGTTCTATCACCAAAGCCATGTTTTCTAACAACCAATGCTGCTTCTTTGTTTCCAACTTTCACATTCCAATCACCACTAATTATTATTGGTCAATTTCAGACTGGAGAAGTTGGTAAATCCTTCAGTTTCTTCATCTTTGGCTTTAGTAGTTGGGGCATAAATCTGAATAACATTATTAACTGGTCTTCCTCGTAGGTATATGGATATTATCCTATCATTGACAACATTATACTTCAGGAGAGATCTTGAAATGTTGTTTTTGACAATGAATGTGTCTGCATTCCTCTTTATCACTCCTAGTGTGAGGTATATTTAAAAAGGACTGGAAAGTCTTTCCAAAACAACAAAGTATTGATAACTAAAACATGAATATCTAGGGATTTATCTTAAAATCAAGTATTTAGTATCATTTCAGTGATGATTCAATTTATCTAAAATGAATTTAGTTGAAAATATTAGCAAATAAAATATATTGAAAATTAATATATATATAAATGACTTCTCAATGAATAGTGGTGGAACTGGATAACTACACACGAAACAATTAAGTTGAACCCTATTCTCACACTATATATAAAAATTAATTCGTATTAGATCACAGACTACACATAAGAGCTAAACCTATAGAACTCCTAAATCTTTGCGACCTTAAGTTAGTTGGCAATGGTTTTCTTATGAATGTCACCCAAAGCACAAGCAACACCAGAAACAATCAGACAAGTTGGATGTCATTAAAATTAAACTCATATTGCTACAAGAAATATCATTAAGAAAGTTAAGATAATCTACAGAATTGGGAGAAAATATTTACAAATCACTTAATTTGACAGGGGACTTACACCTAGGATATATGAAGAACTCTTACAACTCAGTAATAAGAAGACAAATAACCTAATTGAAAAATGGGCTAAATATTTTAATAGATATTTCACTATAGAATATATGCAAATGGGCATTAAGCACACAAAAAGATGCTCAACATCACTATTATTTGTTGTTGTTGTTAGGTGCCGTCAAGTTGACTCTGACTCACATCAACCTTATGTACAACAGAAAACAACACTGCCCAGTCCTCTGTGCAAGCCTCACAATCCCTACTGTATCTGAGCCCATAGTTGTAGCCACCGTGTCAATCCATCTTGTTGAGGGCCTTCCTCATTTTCGTTGACCCTCCACTTTACCAAGCATGATATCCTTCTCCAGGGAATAGTCCCTTCTCAGAACATGACCAAAGTAGGTCAGACGAAGTCTGGCCATTCTTGCTTCTAAAGAGCATTCCAGTTGCACTTCCTCCAGGACAGAGTTGTTTGTTTTTTTGGCAGTCCATGGTACTTTCAGCATTCTTCACCACTACTACAACTCAAAAGCATCAACTCTTCTTCAGTCTTCCTTGTTCACTATCTAGCTCCCATATGCATATGAAGCAATTGAAAATACCATGGCTTGGATTAGGTACACCTTAGTCTTCAAGGAGACATCTGTGCTCTTCAGCACTTGAAAGAGGTCTTTTGCAGCAGATGTGCTCTGGTAGCGTCGTGCCTAAGGCACTTGACTGCTAACCAGAAGGCGGGCGGTTCAAACCCACCGTCACTCCTCGAAAGGAAGATGGGGCAATCTACTTCCGTAGTGATACTGCCCCGGAAACCCAAGGAGGGGTAGCTATGAGTCGGGTCCGACTCGACGGCACATAACAACAACAAGTGTCCAGTGAAATATGTTGTCTGATGTCTTGACTGATGGTTCCATTGGTGTGACTGTAGAATCAATTAACATGAAACCTTTAACAACTTCAGTCTTTTCTCCATTTATCATGTTGCTGCTTATTGGCCCAGTTGTGAGGATTTTTGTTTTCTTTATGTTGAGATGTAATCCAAACTGCAGACAGAAATCTCTTATCTTCATCAGTAAGTGCTTCAAGTCATCCTCACTTTCAGCAAAGTTGTGTTTTCTGTGTATCGCAGGTTGTTGATGGGATTTCCTCTAATCTTGATGCCACATTCTTCTTCATATAGTCCAGCTTATTGTATTATCTGTTCAGCATACTAACTGAATAAGTATGATGAAAGCCTGACACACTCCCTTCCTGATTTTAAACCATTCGGTATCCCCTTGTTCAGTTCGAACGACAGCCTCCGGGTCTATGTACAGGTTCCAGAGAAGCACAATCAAGTGTTCTGGAATTCCTATTCTTCTCAATGTTATCCATAATTTATTATGATCCACACAACTGAATACTTTTGCATAGTCAATAAAACACAACTAAATATCTTTCTTGTATTCTTTGCTTTCAGCCAAGATCCATTTAACATCAGCAATCATTAGGAAAATGTATATCAAAACCACAACAAAATGTCATTTCACACTTTCATGATGGCTACATTAAAAAAAGACAGATAGTAACAAGCACTGGCATAAAACATTTGAACCTTCATACGCTGCTCGTAAGAATGATAAATGATTCAACCTCTTTAGAAAACAGTCTAGCAGCTCTTCAAAATGTTAAATATAGTTACCATATAACCCAGAAATTCCACTCTTAGTTATAAACTGAAAAGACAAATCTGTACAAAAATTTGTACATGAAATATATACAGTGGTATTATTCATGATAACCAAAAGGTGGGAATAACTCAAATGTTGATCAGCTAATGCATGGATAAACAAAATAGGATATTATCCATGTAATGGAATACCATTTACCAATAAAAAAGAACTAAGTACATGCTACGCTATAGACAAATCTTGGAAAATGCTATATTAAAAAAGGTAGTCACAAAGACCTTATAAAGTAGACTCCATTTAAATGAAATGTCCAGAGTAGGAAAATCTATAGAAACAGCAAGATTACTTGTTGCTTGAGGGTAGAATAAGGTAAAGGTAGTAATGGGAAAGGTCTGCCAGTGTGTATGAGGTTTCTTTATGGGATGACGAAAATGTTCTAAAATTAGATAGTAGTGATAGTTGTACAGCTCTGTAAAAAAAGTAAAATTTACTGAATCATACATTTTATTTTTTTAAAGTTTACTATGCTTTGGGTGCAAATTTATAAAGCAAATTTATTTTACATTTAAGTTTACATACATTTGATTTCATGCTCTGATTATCATCCCTGACCTTAACAAACTCTCTTCCCCTCCTGCCACTGTGACTACCTCCTCCCTGTGCCCTTCTTAACTATGCATTCCTGTCTGTCCAGCTTTCCCTTTATGTGAATGTTGGCCCTCTCATGGCTGATTGTTCTAAGGGGTGTATCTCCCTAGAGTAGCTAGGTGCATTGCCCAAAGGTAGGTATTCTACATGTACTTTCTACTGTCGGGGTGAAAGCCAATCCATGGAAATGAGTCCATTTCTAGGCCTGAAGGGTAACCTGTGGTCATAGTCTTGGGGGTTCCACGAGACTCCATCCAACCAGAAATTCTGGTCGTTTTTGCTTTTTTTCAATTTTGTTTCACATTTTTCCTCCCGCTCTATTCAGGATCTCCAGTTTTAATCCCTTTCTGAGTGGTTGGCATTGGCAGCCAGGTACCATCTAATTCTTTTGGTCTCAAGGTCATGAAGGCTGAGGTCCTTGTGGTCCATCTTATCTTTGGACTAACTGCTTCCAGATGCCTTTGATTTTCTTCACTCTACTTTGATTCAGATGAGAGGAGACCAAAAGTTGCATCTTCCATGGCCACTCAAAAGCTTTTAGGACCCCAGTCACTACTCACTACAGTAGGTTGTAAAACAAGATTTTTATGTACTATATGTTGTACCAATTGAGCATGATGTCCCTCGAGACTATGGTCCTGAGTCCCCAGGCCCAGTGATTCTCTCTCTCTCAAGGTGTTTGGTTGTCTCTGAGAAGTTACTCCAACCCTGTCTTCAGGTTCCTTCCCCAAGTGAACCTTTCCTTCTTTTTACAGTTAATGGGCTCATATAATATTTGTCCTGCAAATGACTTATTTCACTCAGCATAATGTCCTCCAAATTCATCCATGTTGTGACATGATTCCCGTATTCTTCACTATTCTTTAATGTTGCATAGTACTCCATTGTGTGAATGTACCATAGTTTAGTTATCCATTCATCTGCTGATGGGCATTTAGGCTGTTTCCATCTCTTTGCTATAGTGAATTGTGCTGCAATGGACATAGGTGTGCATATATCTGTTCACATTCTGTCTTTCACCTCTTTAGGATGTATTTCTAGTAATGAAATTGCTGGATCAAATGGTATTTCTATTTTTTTCAGTTTTTAAGGAAACACCATACCATTTTCCATAATGGTTATACCATTTTGCAGTCCCATCAGCAGTGTATGAGAGTTCCAATCTCTCTGAAACCTTGCCAGCATGTTATTTCCTGTCTTACAGAAGTTTGCTATCATAGCTGGAGTGAGATGATATCTCACTGTTGTTTTGATTTGCATCTCTCTAATGGCTAATGATCATGAGCATTCCTCATATGTTTGTTGGCTGCCAGTATATCTTTTTAGTGACGTGTCTGTTCATGTCCCTTGTCCATTTTGAACTGGGTTGTCTTTTTGGTGTTGAGTGTTGAAGTGTTCTATAAATTTTGGAGATAAGTCCCTCATCAGATATGTCATAGCCAAATATTTTTTTCTAACCTATAGGCTCTCTTTTTACCCTTTAGGAGAAGTTCTTTTAATGCACCTAAGAATTTGATTTTTAAAAGATCCCAGTCATCTAGCTTCTCTTGCACTGCCTGTGTATATTGGGTTATGCTTGATAGTTTATTTATGCTATACATTAGGGGCCCTAAATTTGCCCCTATTCTATTTTTGATGACCTTTATAATTGAATTGTACATTTTAAATGAGTGAATCATATGGTACATGAATTATGTCCCAAGGAAGCTTCTGAACAGAGAGTGAATAAAATTTTAAATAATAAATGAACTTATTACCCCATCTACCAAAAAATGAAAATAAAACCATAAAAATGCCAGACTAGTCAAGTGGCTAGAGGTAATCATGGAAATAAAAGACAATGATAAAACTGGGTTCAAGAGAAACCTCTAAAATTTGAATTTTATTTAACTTCTGTTTTGCTATTATTGACAGTTCCTAATTTTCACCTGGGGAGCTTTGGTAGCACAGTGACTAAGGCATTTGACTGTTAACTAGAAGGCTGGCAGTTCAAACCCATCAGCCACTCCTCGGAAGGAAAATTGGGCAATCTATTTCTGTAGTGATAACGTCTAAGAAACCCAAGGTGGGGTCACTATGAATATGTGGATTTGAATGTCATGTACTCAAAGGGTTCTCCATAGAATTAAAGAATAGGAAAATAAATAATTTCAACACAATACAGGTCATGCTATAAAAAACAGAGTATGTTATTCAGACAGCATGAAATTTTCATTTCCAATAAATTTTAAAATAGTTGTGGCAACAATAACAATCTGACTTAGAAAGTGTAAGGAGATAAGTAATTTTCATAACTATGACTCAAAAAATAAAAAAGGGTTATAGGCCAAGACATTTATTTGAATAAAAGCACATTTCTATTATTTTAAATATGGATTATCAATTAATAAAAACAAATTTACCTATATTCCACAGGCATAATTTCAGCAGCAAGATTTTCAAAACTTTTTGTGGCAGATATATCTAGACAACAAAAACTAGATTAGCATTTCAGTATTTTTTATCAGTAAGAAGGAAAAAAACAAAAGAACTTTTCTAAATTAAAAAATATTCACCTGTTTGGTTTAAGTGATCCTGTTGTACTTGTGAACATCGAAGCTCTTCATTCGTTTCTTTGAGAGTATCACGCTGTTCTATCAGTCTCTAAAAAAGAATTGTTGGTATCACCAAATATTTACTATTTTATGTTTACAATAATTTATCTTGACAAGCTAATTTATAATTGTTGCTTAAAAATGAAAATGTTTTTTAGTGCTAAGAGGTGACTCTTCTTTTGCATAAGTCATGTAAACAACCTTCTTTATATAACACATGGCTACTAATTTCCCCATGAGATAGTTTAACTTTGAACCAACTGAATGCAGTTAAGTAACAGAGTACAAGCACTGTACTGCAGGGTAATGAAGTCAGTGGACTTTGGAGCAAACTGGATTTTGTTTCATCACTCTGTAGCTATATTATCTGGGAAAGCTGTATACACATCTTCAAAACAGAAATACTGATGTTAGAAGCCTTTGAGTAGGTTCTGACTCACAGCAACTCTACATACAACAGAATAACATGACCAGTCTGGTGCCATCTGTTGCTATACTTCAGCCCACTGTTGAAGCCCCTGTATCTATCAATCTCTTTATGGGTCTTCCTCTTTTTTTGCTGACCATCTACTTTATATCAAACATGAAATCCCTCTCCAGAAACAAGTTTCTCCTGATAACATGCCCAAAGTATGTGAGACGAAGTCTCACCGTACTTGCTTCTAATGATTATTCCATTGTACTTCCCAAACAGATTTGTTCCTCCTTCTGGTAGTCCAAGGTATATTCCATATTCTTTGCCAGTACCATTACTAAAAGGCATCAATTCTTTTTCAGTCTTTTTTATTCCCTGTCCAGCTTTCACATGTATATGAAGTGATTGAATATACCATAGTTTGGGTCAGGCTTACCTTAGTCCTCAAAATGACATCTTTGTTTTTGCAGAAGATTTGCCCAAAGTAGTATGTTGTCTGATTTACTGACTGCTGCTTCCATGGGTGTTGATCATGGATGCAAGTAAAATGAAATCTCTGACCAATTCAATCTTTTCTCCATTTATCACGATGTTGCTTATAGGCCCAACTATGAATATTTTTACTTTCTTTATATTGAGGTATCAGCCCCAGGGTTACAGGTGAGGAGAGACAACTCAGGGACGCCTGAAGTAGCAAGCGAGAAGAGCAGGAGAAAGGGGATTAAAAGCCAGGAAGCCAGAGAGAAGAGCAGTCAGCCGAAGGGATTAGGTGAGGAGAGGCAACTCAGGCCCACCCAGAGTAGCAGGCCGGAACAGCAGGAGAAAGGGGATAAAGGCCAGGAACCAGGACAGAGGAGCAGTCAGCCCCAGGGACAA